AATATCGAATTAAGGAAAGGTCGTAGCCACATTGTCTCGTCCATTGATTGAGACGTCTTTGAACATTTTGAGCCCTGCCAATTTTGAGAAGGATGGTTTTCTTGTTCCCGGTGTTTGGGAGAGTAGTCGCAAATGTATTGAGAACATCAGTGGTCCTCCGTCGGCCCGGTTCTGGTCGAGAAGGAGGTGCAAGTAGAGATGAAGCCGTTTCTGAAGGTGGCGGAGCTGGAACAGATTCGGGAGTGAGCCAGAACATGTATATGAAGCCTTCGCTATCCTGTTCAGAAACTGGTTTTGCTAGTTCACCCAACAGAAGCGCTGTAGTTTGTGGTGATGCCGATCTCGGTATGAGTGATAGAAACTCGCCTGTTCGCGAAGAAGGATCTCGATTAATGGGAGGCCGAGGCGGCATGGGTGTCGACGACTGTTTCGGAGAGGCGACAGATGCTGTCCTTCGTCCATGATTGGGCTTGCTCACCGGCCGTGGGGCTCGTTTTCTTTCATCTGCGACTCCAATGCAGCAAAACAATCCAAGATTGCTACTTTGCTGAGGTCGTGGCCGGTGCCGCTCTGGTCGTGCTTTCTCGGGGTCTGGTCGAGGATCAGAATGGTCCGCTCGGTGTGAGGTCTGTTCTCCTCTGCCATCTTCTCTGTCTGGTGATGGTCGCGGAACGGCCTTGCGCTGTCGTCGTTCCTTCTTCCGCTCCTCGACTTCCAGCAGACCTAATCGGTCAATCAGTGTATCCACACTTGTGCGCTCTCGAATTGTATTAGATTGTATTCCTTGCGGAGAAGCACCACCATGCGCTATCGCCTGATCCTTATGCTGCCAGCAAAATGCCTCTGGACTCGACGCTCGTCGAGGACTCGAACTCGGAGAGACATTTGGAGATTTCGAAAGTGATCTTCGACACGGTTTACCGTTCGAAGTGACACCTCTGCAGGTTAACGCTGGATTCTTTGAGTCTGATCGCGGGAGGAGGGATTCGGGGGTATGAGGTATGAACGGCATTCCTGCGTATTAGTTGACAATGAAACTCTTGCACCAACCTGCGAGGTATTAATATATACTACCTAAGTCTCATGAGACTAGGAACGTGGCAGTGATGAGGTGAACTCATCGTGGCCAGTGATTCATTGGTCACGAAGACGCGTTGAAAAGAAGGCTGGTGAGGTGGCTGGGAAAGCGCGAGGCAGACTCGGTGTCCCGCATTCACGTGACCATGACCCTAAAGTCTTCTGAGGCCTCTTGACTCGCCGAGAGTCATAAGTCGACCCGGAGAGGTGCGAATTTATCTTTATTTAGAGAACTTTGATAAAGTTTCAGTGAATTGACAAATCCCACCGTCTCATTGTATCTGCTTCAGAACGGCTCTCACTATTAGCATATCATTTTGAGCTGGCTAGTCTATCTTCAATCAGTTTCCACGCCAGGCTGTTGTGAATTCAAGCCTCACAAGCTTTCTGTTCTCATTATGTACATCTAACCCTCCAATTCTCCTAACAACTCACACCAATGTAATTTCGCAATCGAAGATCTCCTGTTCGCTCATTTTATTAGCCCTTTTCATTGCTATCCCTTACAGCTTGCTGAGAACCCTTTTTGCTCGGATAACGTCCTCAAATATGTACTATATTATTTTCTGGTGAGATAGATGTTTCACCACGGGAGGAAGCGTGTTGACTCGTGCACGTGATAACACTGAAATTGTTTGTCATGGTACAATAGCCACTTCGAGAGCCACATATTGTCTCTCTCTAACGGGTGGTTCAAAATACGATAAAATAACGGGAGGATCACCGCTCCAAAACAAAATCAATCAACACCTTCCAACCATTCAATTATTGCGGATAGCTTGTGCTCGGGTGGAACCTTGAAATGCCATGTTAAACCAGGCAAGCAAACTTTCAAGTTACACTCAAGATATCGCGATCTAATGACGACCCAATAGCAAACATTATATAGAAGTCTTGTAACAAGTTCAACCAGTTGATCGAGACGGCAGTACACCCATTTCGCTGCAAGTCGCGCATCCAGTCGGGCGTTGGCCGAGTTGGTGTTTACCCAATCGAAGCTTCACCACCAGGTCTCATACACACTCGTTCGGCACTCGCCGTGTGTCTATGGCTCTACAAGGCTTCTCCGAATACAAAAAGAAAATGTGCTTCTGCTGGAGCCGCACACCGATTCGAAATAAAACCGATCTCGATGCAAAGTAGAGGTAACGCCGAAATTGGAAGATTCTCGACGATGTGATGCGAAAAAATGAAGAAGGCGATAGTGGGTGGGAGCAGTGACAAATATACAGCAAAGTAATCAACATGCGCAATGACTCCCCGTTTCCATAAAATAAGCAGAGCAAACCACGACCTGCGCTGGACCTGAAATAGACAGGTGAAAAAGCCACTTAGGATGTAGAATATACGCATAACACGCCAAATGACCCTGGGTAGTCAGCACCGCGAGTGCATGGAATCTTGTCGTCGGAGGTTGAAGAGCAGGAATTGGGGAAGTGCGAAGTAGAATGGATGTCGCTCACTAACCTTGAGGCTTGTTCTAGATCCACAGCGTCTCGAGAGCCTTGACCACGAGGCTCGATATCAGGCTTGTCCCACGCCCCGCGATCTCTGGAAGCTCGTGCCCCCGCCGGGAACGTCTCTTCCCATCTCCAAGACCTCCCCATTTCTTGAAGTTGGCATGATTGATACCATCCTCGTATTGAACATTGCTTCTTCCCCAGTGACGCGGCCGGAAGGTCTCTTGTCCGAATCCCATCGATGTCCCTAGTTTTGGAGATCAGAACCTTAATGCGCACTTCCGATCGTGTGGTTTTCACCACTAAACAACACTGAAGATTCCCTGATTGGGTGCCCACAGGAGCCAAGAGGGGATCTTCGTTGACAACCAGCCCCGCGGCCGCTCGCCACAGCTGAGCACTGCATCATTTCGCTCACGTCAGATAAAGCAAACCCCCGTCCCCTCATTCCTTTTCTTTCCAAAACTCCTTCGCAACCTCATCAACGGTTTTCGCATCATCAAGCAAGATGGGGAAAACGATATTCACGACCATTACGCCTTTGCCGGCTGGCATCTCTCGCGAAACAGTTCTGGAGACGCTCCACGACCACCTCGAAATGATCGACCTAAATCCCGCACATACCGAACGTCACCGAGTCGGCCCGCCTCCCGAAGCATCAGCAGAAGAATACCACTGCACTTGGTACCAGATCACAGACAAGATCTCTTATTTCCCTGGGTATAAGGGGAAAATCAGCTTCAAGGCTTGTTTCCATGATCTAGCAGTCGGAGTCCAGATTCATGTTTATGCGCCAATGGGATTGGACATCAAGGAAAAATGGTCGCTGGGTGGGAATGCGCCTGGAGAGCCGGTACAGCCTGCCGAGATTGGGATCGGTGCTCCTATTGCGGGCTTATATTTGCGTGAAGACGTGGAACTAAAGTGCAACTTCATGATGACAAGCTTCGTAAAGAAGCAGCTGAAAGATGCGCTGTCGACCTTGGTGGCCAGACTGATCGTCAAGTCACAGCTTGCTGAAGCTGCGGAAACGAACAGAAAAATTGCACAAGGCTGGAGTCCGACGAGTCCCGTACCGGGAAGTCCACCGTTGAGTCCTCCATTAAGCACTGGTGGATTGGATATGACTTTCCCGAGATATAGTCTAAAGCCAGAGAGGTTCAGCCAGCAGACGGCGATCAGTGAGATGGATGGAGGGAATGCAGGAAATGGGGGAAGTCCAAGTCCTGGATTTGCGCCAGCTAGGACGAGTCCTTCATTCCCACCAGCTCAGCACAGTCCGAAGTTTCCGTCACAATATCCCCAACCGCAATATCCACAGCCGCAGTATGCACAGCAACAACAATATACGCAGCAGCCATATCCGCAACAACATAGTCCAGGTATCGCGCCATATAACCCAGCTGCATATGCCCCTCCCGCGCAAGGGCAAAGGCAGTCGATTGCGAAGCCGCCAACGCAACCTCATCCATATCATGGGCAGAATGGATATGGTCCGGTAGAACTACCATCATGAGGGAGGTGATATTGGCGGAAAATATACGATGAAAGCCACGCGTCGAAGGAGAGGTCGAGAGAGGAGGTCAAGAGAAGGACGAGATTTCGATTCAATGAAAGGACGAAATAATGAATTTTCAGGATTGGAGGACATGGCGCGTGAGATACCTGCCTTCAAAGGCCATTTGTTTTGTTTTGCGGATGGAGTTTCAACGATTATTTGGGGCTTTATACCCAATTTTGCCAGGCACGCCGAGAATGGAAGAAGTGCAGGTGTCATGTGATAGCTGCCTACCATTTCTCGTGTTCTCATAACCTTGTGGCATGTTTGATAGATCAATTGTAATATTGAAGAAGAATTAGTGAAGATATGAGTTTCTCATGATGCAGCTCAGCACGATTTGAGAGTCAACAAAACGTGCGTTTGTCTTCAGGGACGTCCGAATCAAAAAAGACAGCTTTTAAAATAGCGGGAGATCGTGGTATGAAGTCTGGAAATGTGCGAGAATGGCCTTTCCTGGAAAGCTTTATAAATGTAGTAGACTCTATGCCTGAAACACAGTATGGATTGTTGTGAGTAGGCGACCACTATTTGGAAATCAGCAAGGCACTCATTCTTTCGTTGCCCGTTTACAGAGTTTGCGTGTCACAGACCCTGAAAGATAGGTAGGGTCACTACCAGCGAAAATCCTATGGTAGAAGATAGGGTTTGTAGCCTAGAAATATAGTGCCTTCCAGCGCTGCGAGTCCCTAGAAATCGTCATTCCAGCATATTTCCAGACTCCCTGGCCTCCTTAATTCCAGGGACTTTATTCACGGTCTCCGCGCTCAGCAAAACGAAACTCGCTTATGAGTCGCAATCAAGGCTTGCCGTAGCGGGGTGAAAGATCCCGCACAACACCACAAAAAAGTTGCAAAAAAAACAAAAAAACGAGGGATGAATGATGGAATTAAATCATCGCGAATTGGACTCGCGGGGAATCGAACCCCGGACCACTCCCAAATGTTGCCATCTTAGCGATTACTCAGAAACCTGAGGCTTGCTAAGGGAGTATTATACCACTAAACCACAAGCCCGGATGATGGGAAATTTCTTATTATACATTATACGCGAGGTTGTGGAGTGAGTGGTAGGAGCCAATAAAATGCCAGGGATGTCTAGGCCCGCTTATCCCAAGTTATTTCTGATAACGACACACTTCCATCACGTAGAATAGTTTCATCATTCAGAATAGGTCATCATCCAGCATAGTTTCGAGTAGCATCGAACTGAGATTACGCATTATTCCAGAATATTTTTTGAAGAGCTCCGTCCTTCCGTGCCAGACTGTTGCCTTTCTCTTGTGATGACTGCGCAAAAGTCGCCCCCGCCAAGGGGACAGCTCAGCCCCGTGAGGCGCCAAGTGTTGTCGAACATCAAGCGTCAACTCCTTCACCAGCTCCTAGATTCCAGCTAAACGCAATGTTCAGGTACGATGGCCGCCAGATTCAGTGGGTTTGGTCGTTATTTTATGCGACGATTTGTACCAACCTAAGGACCCACAAAGGGGCGCAAGTGTGTTCGCTTCGTTTACCACCGGAGCGCTCCCACCGCAGAATTCACGAGGTGTAGAATAGATAATCTCCGCCATACTTTATCGCAGGACCCTCGAAAAGACACTTCCTCATTTTATCTAAACCAAAGATTTCTCCATGACCGTTAATATAGTCGTAGCTACTGCTGTATAAGTGTAGGATTGGAGTTGTACTACTACGTCTGCGAACTGTAGAGTACTCTGCCTAAAGAACTAAGAGCTCCGAATACAAAATCTGTGCTTATGTCCTCGGGGCGAGCATGATGTGACCGCACTAACCCCGATCCGGAACAATAACACTGATGTTCTGACCTATTTGTATTATAAGATTTATCTCGCGCCTGAGCTGGGCATGAGAACGCTATAGGGGAGGATAAGAGAATTGGTATTTTCATTAAGAGTGGTGAGAATCGTAGCAGGTCAGCGTCGGCGCGTGGCTGAAACCCTCGAAGGTAAAACACCTGTTTTCTACTGTACAAATGCAGGCCGCTTCTTCGGGAACGTGAGGCTGTCTAGCGATGAAATCGAAGTTCCTGAAGGGCCGGAACCAGAGGGGGACATTTCGAGGCCCTACGCGTAAGGCTTCTTTAGCAGGGTTTACTATCCAAACGCTGACGCCACTCAACCACCCACACTTGCCCAACCAAAATTGGGTCGATTTTTCAAAGTCTTAGCAAAGTCCAAAGATTTCATAAGTTATAAAGAAAACTCTAACTATTGTGCAAAGCGGGTATTCTATAGTTGTGGCGTTGTGGTCTCCAAATTTCAAGTTAAGCAGTTGAGTAAAGTAGGAGTGTGGGTGGTGAATCCTGCTAATGAGACCTAGACGACTCACACGACCCCTGGACATAAAGGGCCCCAGAAAAAATATTTAAGCACAAAATCTCTGTCTTTATTAAGGCATCACAAAACATCCATCTAGCTTCGCATAACGTGTACGTTGGCACAGTATATCAGTTTCACATGACAGAGAAACGTCATTAAATAAAATCAGAATGAGCGACAAGACACTACTATACAAGCCTCTCGACATTGCGAGGAAGGAGATCAGGCTCTTGGAACTCTCAACTGTTTCTGATACTGATGGGATTCGGTCGTATCGGTTGATAACCGTTTCGCTCTTGGACTCGCCTCGCTTCTCGGCTCTGTCATATGTTTGGGGCAATTCCTTTTCGACAGAGCTGATCTTGTTGAATGGAGTCTCTCAGCAGGTTACAAATAACCTGGCATCAGCTCTAAAGCATATTGGCGATAGTCAGGATGTTTTGGTAAATGGTCGTTTATTGTGGGCAGATGCTGTCTGCATTAACCAGACGGACTTGGATGAAAAGAAGTATCAGGTCCCACTAATGAAAGATATTTACGGTTCCGCTCATTCGGTCGTTTCCTGGCTTGGCGCCGACGAATGGATTTCAACAGCTTTCGAAACGCTTCAAATAATATCTCAGGAAGCTCCGATAGATAACAGTGATCTGGAATGGTTACGGTGCCATCCTACCCTGTACGTTCGGGACAAACAACTAGACGACCAAAGTCTAATTCCGAATCATCACTGGGAGTCACTGCGCGCTTTCACACGTCTAATTTACTGGTCACGCATATGGATATTCCAGGAAATTGTTTTGTCCCAGCATCTTATACTTGTTATTCCTGGCAAGCTTATGTCTGTTGATGTCCTGAAGACAGCACTAGCACGTACGCGTTTGATTTTCAGCGCGTTCGCCCACCCTGATCAGAGACGCCCGGATTTCATCGACGAAGACATGTGGAAATATCTTCTACGTCTGAATATTCTCGATGGTAGCTTCAAGCTCATTGAACGACTTATAGTCGCCAAAGAATTGCTCTCTCGGGCGGAGACAAAGCGGAACGAGCGCCCAGCACTATGCATCCTGTCAGCTTTCACGAACGAGACACGTGCCACCGACCAGCGAGACTTTTACTACAGCCTCATTGGTGTCTCTCAGCTTGACCTTGCGCCGGACTATAGCTCAAACAAGTCAGTTCAGAGTGTCTGCAAGGACTTTGTGCGGGTGTACCTTACTGCAACTCGGGACTCGCCCTGGGCCCTACTCTTCCTTCACGACGCTATAGGACAGCGAGGGAGGGATCATTACCAACTCCCTTCTTGGGCCCCAATGTATCACCTGCCTAAAGAAATGGAAGGCCGCATGCGTAACCCGGACCCCGAAGCGAAAGCAGGGAACCATGTCTTTGATGGGTTACCTGAGAAGTGCCATCCGGAAATAGATGGCCAGACTCTACGAGTTTTTGGCGCGTGTATTACCAGTGTTAGTTTAGCAGCCTATCGCCCAAGCGGCGTGAACTTCTGGAGGGGAGGTCAAATGGCGACCTATCTACTCAACTTCGCACGACAACACGGCGCTATTTACAAAACCGGCATCCCGGTGGCGACTGCTCTTTTTGCGACCTTGCAAACAAATATTAGTGGAAGCTACGACTTCTTGAAGGGCTTCATATTGCTGCAGAGTCTCCGGGACACGCTTGATTTTGATAGAGAGAGTGACGCCAGCCGAGTATGGTTCCAAATCAACGAAGCATATCTTAAGAGCATGCCACAACATGTTGATTGGAGCCGCCTTCAAATCGAGCAGGAGCTTGTGGTAACGGAATGGGTTCAAACTTTCGCTAGATACGAAAGAATGAAAATAGGACGAATTTTCGAGACCCTTGAAGGATACTTGGGCCTCGCTCCCTTAGATGTAACAGACTGTGACATAATCTGTGTCTTGGATGGGGCGAGTTATCCACTCGCTTTACGTCAGGATGGAGAGCATTATATTTTCATTGGGGAGTGTTTTGTCCTGGGCCTGATGACAGGAGAATCAAGGGACTTGTTAGCCCAGAGGCACGCGAGTGCTAAGGTGTTCGAGTTGGTATGATATCGTAAGCGATATAATAAAGTTTCTTAACATAATCTAGGAAAAGGTTTCTCAGTTTATTGCTAATTAAACATGATGTAACGGACGAGACGCCCGTGAAGATCATGAAAGTGGTCCACACGAAAATTGCAGGAATCTATTTTTGAAGCACGCGATCATAGTATTGTCCGTACTAAAGAATCAAAAACATCCGCACCTATTCAAACCTGTCAGATCTAGAACGGATCCACAATCTCGACCGTCTCGACAGCCTTCCTGTCTTCTCAGCCTTATCTGATACTCACGCGACTCCTTTCGCCCAGACAACTTTTTCCCCCATCTTTTGATCATCGCCTCTCACATACGAACCAATCATTGGCTGCACGACCAGAGAAATTCGTCGTCCATCGAGTCTAGGACTTCCCTTCTGGAGGCGAAGAATTCCGGCTGCAACCACCTCTAAAGAGCGAACTCTAAAGCACGCTCTTGAGAACTCGTTTTGTTGTTGGGTCTAGCTAATATATATATTCTTGTACAACTACCACATCGATAGCCGATCATCTGCAGCAAAGATATTCTCCCACATCTCAAAATCCATATCCAACTCAGGCGCTCCAAAAAGCCTCTCCCCTCTTCATTGGAGCCGACAGGCGCGACTTTGCTTCTCTCCCTAGCTCTCACGATACCCCTCACAGCGACATCTGCCACAAAGTTATTTACCATGAATGATCTAGCTCTGCCCGTCAACGGAGTCTCCTTGTCCCATTCATCATAGTCCGTCATATTCTCAATGATTCTGCACATCCTCGACCACTGATCTCGATCCGTCCGAGATATATTCTTCATCAGTGTCGAAGTTTGGCTGATGGAATTTCGTACCGCCGTCTTGTCAATGGTATTTTCCGCCGTCCCGCTTATTCTCAAGAGAAAAAAGACAGCGTAGCTAACACATCGAAATGTATGGAATGTGCTCTTGGAGAGCTCGTCTGGGAAGGCGCTAGCTACCGATAGTAGTTGGATAGCAGCAACACTGCCCAAGGTGGTGAATTCGGTATCTGGTCGTGTTGTCTGAAAAGTCCCAGGAGACTCATCAATGCCTTGGCCAAGAGCATATCGGTATAGATTTAGCCGTGCATCGAGGAAAGAAATCTCTGTATGTGGCGGCCACTTGTGAGACTCTTTGTGCTGTAATGCATTTAATTCCGAGTCAAGTACACGAATTAGGGATAATGGGGCGTATAGCAACCCAGTGGAAGAGGTCTCGCATTCACCAAGTATTGATGAAAACTTGGAGGTGATATATGCAATATGCACTTGGTATTCCATTGTGTTTGGCAATTTCGGAGAGTCAAGATTCAGTGAACGGAGAATAGTATAATCAGCTCTGAGGTTAGCTGGTACACCAAACCTCGCAGTGTGCCTGTCACCTATTAGTCTTCTTCATTTAGAGGGCGTTTGGTCTGAACCGGTTTATAGAAACCGTAGGTCAGAAACTGGTTTTTATAAACTGGTTTCTATAAACCGTACAATTTCGAATTCCGTTTGGTCAAAATCTCATCGTTGTTGCAGATTGTGAAAACCTAATTTCGGTAAGCTTGGGCCCTTCGACTTCTTTAGCCGT